CGCCCGTCGGGTCGCTGATCTCGTGTAAGGCCTTTAGTGTAAACCCCGCGAACCGTACAGGGGGCGGGGAGAGCCGACCCCCCCGGCCGAGACGCCTCAGGTGCCGCTGAAGCCCCCGAGGCAAGGGGAGGCGCCGGGCAGAGCTGCGAGGGCCCGTGCGGGCCCCGCGCACCCCGAAACAGCAGGGCCGGTGAAAACCCTCGGAACCCACCTGCCGCAGCCCCGGGAACTCACGGCTTCTGCCCCTGCGAGTATGAAAAGGGTAAGTGCTCAGCCCGCCTCTGCATGTCCTGTATTCTCAAGGCAAAACAAATCAACACGCTCAAGAACTGCATCGCACACAGCCCTCGTCGGTATTGCACGTACGCAGCAACAGCATTCGGTACTTTCCCCCGTTCATCTGGAATCCATTCGCAGCTTGAACTGAATGTTGCTTCTTTCAGCACTGCGAGCAGGAAAGCAGCGTTTAGCTAACGAACACTCAGCTCCTCACAACACTTACAGAGAGCAGGTAGTTGTGGGGTACAAAGCAGAAACGTGACCTTGTGAAGTATTTTTCATTTTTTTTTCCCCCCAAGATGCTCTGAAAACCAGGATTTGACGTAGCAGATAAACTCACTGGTCCTTCAAATCTGGCAGGGACTACTTCTGCTCAGAGAAAACAGAAGATTTCTCCAACGCACCCTGTCATTTGTGCACTAGTGTAGAGCTGATAGGTTGAGCATGGACATGGGATCAGGCATCTTCAGACATCAGGAACAAACCCTTCTTTAGGATCCAAGATACACAGCTATTTTCTCTTCTAGTGGCTATTTACAGCTCTGCAACCTAATTAATTTAAATTCTAATCTCTCTTATCTGTCCGGCAATAAGTTTTAAAGCTTGGCTACAGAAAGTCATTTTACTATAGACTGATTCAACTTCTAGTCCCACCAATGATGATAAGATCTGGTCAATAGGTAAGCAGTGCACAGCTGCCATCAGAGACCTAAACCAAACAGGCTTTTGTTTAAACCAAACAAGCACTCCCATCTTGCCATGTACAAACCATCAATAACCCCACCCAGGCCTGGTACTGGCATTAGCAACGTCATCATAGAAGAAAATAGCAAGGAACTAATGCAATGGTGCAACTGAGTTGTACGTTTATCATACCATATATTTCTGCATTGTATTGTGACTCTGCTTTGGGTTTTTTGCCTTTTTTTTAAACTTCAGATGTATGTGAAATATCCTCATAGCTGTACTACCTTAAAACTACCCAAAAGCAGTGCCAAATTTGGGGTTTACACAACTTAGTAGCATGCTTATAAGTGATTTCATCCAAAGGCATGGAGGAAGCAACTCAAAACTAAACCCCCTGCTGCGGAAAAAAGGCAATTATTATTGCACATATTTACTTGGCATAGAAAAGCATACTTGGGATTTGCTGCTGCTAACAGAATTGTATTAACCAAGCCTGTGTGAATACCTGGGAAAGTAAGCAGGGTGAAAACCCAGCGGGGAGGTCTGCAGCAAGGAAGATTACCCTCAGTGGAGGAGGATCCGTTTAGGGAACATTTGAACAAACTGGACATGAACAAGTTCATGAGACCTGATGGGATGTACCCATGAGCGCAGAGCGCGCTGGCCAATGTCATTGTAAAGCCGATCTCAATCATCTCTGAACGGTCATGGCAATCAGGAGAGGTTCCAGGAAGAACGCAAATACCACTTCCCCCTTCAAGGAGGAGGATCAGGGTAACTACAAGGCGGGTTAGCCTCAGCTGAGCATTTTTTTCCCCTCCTTCCTGTCACCCTGTCATTCGTAAACAGAAAAGAAAACGCAAACTTGCACAGTCACACCCGATTTTTGTTATCACTGCAATAGCTGCACAAGAAAACGTTAACGCTGCGGTTCCTGCAGAACCTTTCCCCAGACCATCTCCCTCAGAGCACTGCCGCTACCAGAGCGGCAGCCTCACTGTCTCCTTGGAGCAGCATCCCCAGGACCACGTGCACTGAAAATCCAGGAATTGTTTTATCTGCTGTTTCTAACCAGTCACAAAGGCAGCTGTGTCTGAAATCTCCTAATGAATTTCCAGTGCAATCAACAGTGGCAGAAGAGGCCTCGGGAAAGAAACATTCCTAAATAACTTTGCTAGAAGGACAACTTCAGACAGCGTAACGCCTC